CCCCAAAACCCCAAAACCCCAAAACCCCGAGGTAAGGAATTTATCACCAATTCTGCCAATAATTTTTAAGAATATTATACCTATCATTAAATTAATTTGATAAATATCAGTATGGAGTATCTTAAAGCCACCACTACTTTGCTCATTACTGGAGCCAGTAAGACTTATCAATTTATATCTGAAAACATGATAATTAACCATCATTTTAGTCTCGTACTTTACCTATGAGTAAATCAGATTAAACAAAGAGAAGAAAGATAGTGAAGTAGTTTGCGAGAGAGTGTTCTAGGAACAAGTTATTGATGCTTTCCCTGTTGTGAAACTTAAATATCAAAAGTATAAATCGATGAGAGATGAGGGCAAGCAAGTAAAGAATTCTACTGAGTTGAGAGAAAAGTTGTTTTAGCAAATAACTGTAGATCTAGTTGATGAATTGTGTTCAAGACACAAAATCACTTCCTAGAGATATAATGAATGGTACAATGACGCAAAGAATGAGTAAGCAAAGAACTTCTCTTCAAGATTGGAAGAAGCTGCACTTGAATTGCAAAATCTTGATGAATCACCAAAGGCTATCGAGTATGATATTAAAGAGTAACTAAAGAGAAAGGAAGTAGCGTCATTGGCTTTTAGAGTATTTTGTGACTTTTAAAAGTATAGAGTCTAAGATGTTTTAGTGCATAGTCTAGACTATTTGAAATCGCAGACTGATAAATACACATTGTTACACCAAATAATAGATGATGAGAAGTAGTGGGGTGAGGTATTCAAGGCTATGAATATTGAACTTAATGAGGGAGAGTCAGCTCAACTGGAGTTCAGAAAAGCATACTATAAATTCAAATTTGATAGATCATGGAACAGTGAAATTCAAAAGATTGAAAATGAACATTACACAATAATGGGTGCACTTATTGAATTCACAAAAGAGATTGCTGGATAGAAAAGATTTAGTGTTAATCCACTTGGATTATCTCTTAGTTCAACTGAATATCAAGTTTAACTCTTTGAGCTCCCAATGATTGCAGATCTCAGTGAAGAGCTATAGCACATGCTCTAGCAGAGCTTTAGAATAAAATTCGGCAGGAAAGCTACCTCTATTGAAATTAAGCATCAAAGACTATTGGATCAGATTTAAGCAATCGTTAATAGAAATACTTACAAAAACATTAACAGTAATAATGTCACACCTAGTGCTGGGGGCCAGAGTGTTAATAGTGGAAGTAATACTAATAAAAATTTAAGAAATTTACTTGGACAATCAATCGTAAGCAGAGTTAGGGGTACTGAGTAAAGCTCGGATATTAATCAAAGCTTTTCTGGTACAACAAACACAAGAAGAAGAGCTAGATAGAATGCCAAGCAAAATCTTGATGAGTCTTAAGCTCTAGATCAGAGTGTAAATCAATCCTAGAGTGATATACTTGACTAAAGCAAAGTTGATATTTCATAGATTGAAGCTGAGCAATGAATCAATTATTCAAACTGATAATATTCAGTTTGATATATTTATTTAAGCATTCAACTAATATAAAACAGATTACTATGCACGGGGTTTTGGGGTTTTGGGG